CTCTTGGAGGCACCTGGGGGTGCTCTCTGGGGCCCTCCCCGGGGCATCCGTGGGCCTCCTGGGCAGTCTGCTGGGCCTCCTGGGCCGTCGTGGGGCCCTCTTCGACCGGCGGTTGGCCCTCTTTCCCAGTCCGATGCTGACCGGTCACCGGTTAGATGCGGATTCACCATGCCCTCCCACTGGAGGCGTAGAGCCTCGCGCGCGCGATGGGCGCGCGGCATTCTCGGGGGCCCTTCGCCAGGGACGGGTTGGGCTTGACCTCCTCCTCCTCCTCCTCCTCCTCCTCCTCCTCCTCCTCCTCCTCCTGCTCCTCCTCCTCCTTGCCCGCCGTGCTGAACCCCCGGCCTCGCCCCTGAGCCTTCAGGGGCAACCATAGGGGGGAGGCTGGGCATAGGGTCAAATCGGGCACGTCCCTCGACAGGAGGGATATTCCAGGGTGGTTAGAAAAAATGGTCTGGGGGCGATTTCTCGTGCTCTTTTGACTATGTTGATGTGTGTGTGTGTGTGTTGACCACTTTGTATGTTTCTTCCAAAATCCGCCTGTAGGGGGACATGCCTGGCCTGAGCATACGGGAGGATGCGTCGACCCCCAATCGCCCATTGAGCGCCGATGGGGTCGGATAGCCCTGCCCGCCCAGGAACGTGGGGATTTACTGTCGGGAGCCTGTCGTCGATCCATCGGCGACGTAGCGCCGATTCCAGGTCGACGTTTCACCCCCTTATGCCAGCCCCCCCCCCTATTGTTGCCCCTCATCCCTCCCCACCTGAGCGACGCAGCACAACGGGGTCGATTGCGCCGACATGCGCCCGTAAGCTGCCCGCGTCGGGTCGCGCGTGAGCGCCGTCGTTACCAGCGTGGCGTGCCGCGCTGGCGGCCCGCGGAAGCCACCAGCGGAAGGTCGCTGTGTCTTCGCGCGCAAGAAGCGTTGTGTTCGTCGTTCCTCTGTCGCCCGGACTTTTGTCTTCTGCCGTTCTCGTCGGTTCCCGGAGGATGTGTGCTTGCCCCAGGAGGCGTTCCAGCAGCTGCTCCTCGCCCACAGCTGTCCGGGGGCGCCCGAAACGTCCTCCTCCCCCTCCTAGAGAACATGAGTGAACAGGGCTGCCGACACGGCCCGGCCTCTGGGGGTGACCCGAGTCATGACCCAGGCGTGCGGCACGATCCCTTGCTTGTCGCGCCCCCCCTCCTCCCTCTCGCCTCTCGCTATGGAGCTACGGCTAAGACGCTGAAGTGAGGACCGCTTGTTGGGGCTGCACGCCGCCACCGTGCAGTGGCTGAAGCCTGGCGTATCGCACCCCTTGTCCGCCTTCTCTTCCCAGGCAGCGTCCGATGTCATGCTTCTCGAAACATGTGGGACTGCTCGGACAAAAGTTCCGACCACCTTGAGTCGCTTGGGAGAGGCCGTCTATCGGCGTGCTGGGGAGGCATTGCATTGAGCCGCAGAGCCAACAAGCCGTTGCTGCCTGGGGTAGGACAAGCCGCGTGCAGACGCACGGGCTCGGGAAGAGCAGCGTGTACACGTACAGCTTCGGAGAAAGCTGCGTGTGTGCATACGGGCTCGGGGTAGAAAAAAGCGAGGACCACTTCGGGCTCGGGATGGCCCTGCTTCGAGGGCCGCTGCCTACGCCTGAACATTGGGAGCCTCTCCGTGGCCAAGGCCCGCCGTGGCCAGAACTGGCCCTTCGCTCCCTATCTGGCGCCCCGTATGGTAGCCATGTCGATTGCCTGCTCCTCATGTCGTCCTCCTTCTCCCCCTCCTGCCGTCCTCGTCCTCCTCCTCCTCCTCCTCCTCCTCCTCCTCCTCCTCCTCCTCCTCCTCCTCCTCCTCTTCCTCCTCCTTTTCCTCATGCGCGTCCGGCCACCGCCTCGAGGCTGCCTGGGAAGACGGCATCCTCCCTCTTCGTCTTGCTTCTGCTGCTGATTCCCCCGCCCGCCAGCCTCGCGTCCTTGCAGAGCCCATCTCGATTCGGTCGATCCGATTCGCTACCAATCTCGCCCGGCTCGACCCGATTCGATTTCGATGTTCGGGCGGTCCAATGCGGCCCCATGTTTGCAAGGCTTAGTTGTGCATCTTGCCGCAGCCGGTCCTATCCGGTTTCGATTATGTGCCGATGCAGCCCGATCCAATGCAAGTTCCGATCCGATTCAGCGCTTCGATGCTGACTGCTTCTGCCTGGCGGAGAGGGGTCCTGGAGGTTTTCCCCGTTTGCGGGCCTCCCGGGGTCCTCCTGGAGCAGGGGGGGAGTCAAAAAACGATTCGTAATTATCATGGCGAAGGACCCAACCATATGCAGTCGTGAGTAACGCAATGGAAAATACCGTCCTCGGTGGAGCTCCCTATGGGGCCACGAACCTTGTGAGGAGTGCGCCGAAATGGGGGTGGAACTGCATGCGAACTGTGCCACTGGGGCCTTCGGTGGAGCTCCCCATGGGGGCACGAACCGTGTGAGGGGTGCGCCGAAACGGAGGTGGAACTGCATGCGAACTTTGCCACTCGGGCCCTCGGTGGAACTCCTTGTGGGCCACGAACCGTGTGAGGGGTGCGCCGAAACGGGGGTGGAATCGTGTGAGAGGTGCGCCGAAATGGGGGTGGAACTGCATGCGAACTCTGCCACTGGGGCCCTCGGTGGAGCTCCACATGAGGCCACGAACTGTGTGAGAGGTGCGCCGGAATGGGAGTGGAACTGCATGCGAACTTTGCCATTGAGGCTTGCAGCAGGGCTACCTATGGGGCCACGAACCGTGTGAGGGGTGCGCCGAAATGGGGGTGGAACTGCATGCGAACTTTGCCACTGGGGCCTCGGTGGAGCTCCCCATGGGGCTACGAACCGTGTGAGAGGTGCGCCGCAACGGGGGTGGAACTACATGCGAACTTTGCCACTGGGGCCCTCGTTGGAGGTCCCTATGGGGCCACGAACCGTGTGAGGGGTGCACCGAAATGGGGGTGGAACTGCATGCGAACTTTGCCACTTGGGCCTTCGGTGGAGCTCCCTATGGGGCCACGAACCGTGTGAAGGGTGTGCCGAAATTGGGTGGAACTGCATGCGAACTTTGTCACTGAGGCCTGCGGTAGAGCTCCCTATGGGGCCACGAACCGTGTGAGGGGTGCGCCGAAATGGAGTGGAATTGCATGAAGATTCCTTCTGATATTTCTTTGAGATTAACGTGAGGTTCAGTTTGATTGGGGTTTTCCTTCTTGGACACCCTTCAGACTCCCATGGGATTAATTTAGGATCCCGTTGGGGCTCCTTTGAGATTCCTGTGCGTGCTGGGGAGTGCGACGGCCGTCGCGTCGCCACCTTCGATGACTCCCTGCTGGCAAGGTCCCAGGGCGGCACAAATGATTCTCAAGTTCATGTGTCAGTTCATGTGCCAACGACACCGCAGGGAGGCGCCGCCAAAAATGCTGAGTGACTGTTTCTCACCAGGGCAGGCTGGCGAGATCGTTTGGGTGGGGTACTGGTGGCTCCCCAGGGTCAGGGGACCTCTTGGGGCCCTCTTGGCCCGCCTTTGCGCTCCCCTGACCCGCAGGAAGACCACGCGACACGCCCCAAGTGAAGGGACCCCAGGACACAAATAAATACACACAAATGAAATGATTGCCCATATTTTCCTATATTTTCTGAGTTTTCGTCTTCCCCCCCACGTCCCATATTTTCCCATATTTTCCTGGGAGTGGACGATTAATTGTGTCTGTGTGTTTTTTCCCCTCCTGGCCAAGGGCCACGCGGGGGGCGGCCCCAGAGTGGCGCGGGGAGCCATTTCGAGGTATGCGACGAGCCCCCGGGGGACCTCCGGCCATCGGGGGTCGGGGCCCCCAAAAGGAAAAGAGTGCCGACCACGTCCGACTGCTTGGCATCGCTCGGACGTGTGCATTTTTCCTTCGGCGAGGACCATCGAGGAGCATCCTGGATCATCTGGCGAAAAAACCACGCACGAAACCGAAAAAAGCACAGGGAATGGACGTCCGAGCGATGGCGAGACTGTGTACGAGGGCTCCTGAGGAACTGGGGGCACGCCACTCCGTGCCCAGGGAAGCGGTGGCGGGGCTGTGCGAAAGGCCATGCAGTCCTCAGCAGATGCACAGATGAGAAGTCACGCCAGGCCTCCCTCATCGTCGCTGCTCTCTCCCTGTCGGCTGGCCCCAGCCATCGCCGGTTTCCACCATCGCGGGTCTTCACGGGGAGCGACGCCGATCGCCCATCGACACGCGTCCTGCCCGGGCCATTCTTCAAGATTGGCCTGGCCAGGCCAACCCTGACCTCAAGATGTACCCGTCGGTCGTTGGAAGTAGGTACTTCTGGATTCCCAGATCCCAATCTACTCTAGGTGCCTTCCCACGTCAGGAATCGAACGGTTTTCCCTCTTCCCTTCTCCTTAGGGGGAGGGCGGAGATCCAACCTACTTCCAACGCCTTCCCACCTCATATTTCTACCCACTTCTTCCGACCGACGGGTAATCTGAGGCCGAGGATTGGCATGGCCAGAAGAGGCGCATAGAGCCAAAGTTGGCCTGAAGGATGAGCCTTTGAAGCGAGCGATCCTTGCATCAACTGGTTCTGGGCATGCTTGTCGTGCTCTCTGCTCCCCCGGTCCAAGAATGCCCGTTGTTTGGCGCGTTCGAGGCGCCTTGCATGCGTATGCTCCATCCTCATGGTTGACGTTGACTGTCGCCGGCGTCCTCCTATCTTCGGCGCCACCGCTGTCATCGCCAGGGAGGCCTTCGGAGCGCTTCCCTGCCGGGCTTCTCAGGCGAGACGCCCGGCCCGCCCTAAAAATTGGCCTCGGGGTGCGACACGGAGAAGCTATTTAGAAGGAAAAGGAATGGGGGAGGGGGAGGAGGGGGGAGGGAAGGGGGGGGGAGGAGGGAGGAGGGATGAGGAGGAGGAGGAGGAGGGAGTAGTAGGGAGGAGGAGGAGGATGAGGAGGATTAGGAAGGAGGGAGGGGGTAGGAGGAGGAGGAGGAGGAGGAGGAGGAGGCCCAAGGAGGCCCTCGCGCCGAGGCGACGCCTTCGACCGCCAGGAGATCGTGGCCGAGATCGCGCCGGCCCCTGCCGGGGAGCCCCCCTGCTTTTGGGGAGCCGCGGCGGCGCGCCTCTGCTCCGGGGCGCGCTGGCCAGGAGGGTCGTCTTAAGTCGGGCACGTCCCTCTACAGGAGGAGTATTCAAAGATAGTCAAAAAATAGTCTGGGGACAATTAGTCAAAAAATAGTCAAAAAATAGTCAAACAAATCAAAAAATAGTCAAAAAAGATTCAAAGATAGTCAAAAAATAGTCTGGAGACAACTATGAAACACTTCAAGATGTCTTCTAACCATGTTTGCTCATTTTTGTTTTCGACTGGTTTTCACTTTTCGTTCACGATCCGCCTGCAGGAGGACATGCCCGACCTAAGGGTTGTCAAGGGGACGCCCAGGGGACGCCCAGCACTTGCAGATCGGGAGCTCTCCGGCCGTGCGATAGAACCGTTTCCGCCGGTTTCTTGTGCCCACCATCTCCCTGCCTCGTCCTCCGCTCCTCCTTCTCCTTCTCCTCCTCCTCACCCTCCTCCTCCTCCTCAGCAGGAGCAGCAGCAGCATCATCAGCATCATCATCGTCATCATCGTCATCATCATCATGATCATCAGCATCATCATAATCGGCATCATCAGCAGCATCATCATCGGCGGCGGCAGCAGCATCATCGTCATCATCCTCAGAATCATCATAAACCTAGTGTATGATTCCTCCTCCTCCTCTGCCTGACTATATCTCCCCTCCACCTCATCACGTTCTGGCTCCGCCTTCTGGAGAAAGGGGGGGCGGCGGGAGCAGCAAGCGCAGGCGTCGGTGCTCGGCGCTGCACCCGCATCGCAGAGAGGTCAGCCACGGGCGGCGGAGGACTGTGAGGAAGAAGGGCACAAGGAGCAGGAGGAGGCCGAAGGGAGTCCTCCTCCTCCTCCCCCTCCTCCCCCTCCGCCTCCTCCTCCTCCTCCTCCTCCTCCTCCTCCTCCCCCTCCTCCCCCTCCTCCTCCTAGGACAAGGAGGGAGGCAGGGAGGCATGGGGGGGAATCAGGAGGAGGCCTCGCGGAGCGCAGCTCGCGCCACTTCCCGCGGCTGGGGCGGCGGCGGGGGTCTAGTGTCCGCCTGGGCCAGGCTATATCTCTCTCTCTCTCTCTTTCTCTCTCTCTCTCTCTCTCTCTCTCTCTCGCCGCGATGACGTCGCGCTGCGTGTTTTTGCAACTGGCAGCAATAAGGGATCGAACAGTGACATAAACATAAGAGCTCTGAGGTCCGCGCGGGGTCCAGCGCCGATCCGAGAAATCCGCGCGGACCTCCGAGTTGTTTTATGTCTATGTCCGTGTTCGTTCCCCTAGTGCTGACGTCGGTCTGCTTGGTCTTGGAACTGGCAGCAAGCTGCCGCGGTGCGCGCGGGATTCTCCTGGGCGCGAGAGCTTCTCAGAAGGTTCGGAGGAGGAGGAGGAGGAGGAGGAGGAGGAAGAGGAGGAGGAGGAAGAGGAGGAGGAGGAGGAGGAGGAAGAGGAGGAGGAGGAGGAGGAGGAGGAGGAGGACACGGTTGCGGGCGGCGATGCCGGGCAGAGGGTTGCCTTCTTCGGCCCTCTCGGCACGGCGCGCCTCTCCGCTCGCTGGGGGGGGGGGAGGCCCCGGGCAGGACCGCAGCCCCGCTGCCTCGTAGCAGCCCAGACCCCCCTCGCGTCGTGGAGAAATCACGGCGGGATGTTTGTCGCTATGTCCGGCCTCCTGCGCGAGAAGTCCGCGCGGACCTCCGAGTTCTGATGTGTATGTCCATTGCTCGTTCCCCTATTCTCGCTATTTCCGGCCTCCGGGGGCCTTTTACCGGGCCTCGGGGCCTTCCAAAAACGCCTCGGGATGAAAAGCCTTCCCCGGGGAAGGGGTCCAGACCTCTGGGGGTCGACGCTGTGAGAAAGTCACGACGTCGGGGGTCTGGGAGGACTCCATTGTCCCTGCGACGTGCAGCAGGATCTGCAAACGAAGTCAGGCTACGACGAGCGCCGAGCGCACCGAGAGGAGGGCGACAAGAACAGCAGCAGCAGCAGCAGCGGCTGCCGACCTCGACGCCGCCACGGCGCAGGCTTTGCTCGAACGCGCCAGGGCAAGACAGCCGCTGTTCCCTCCCCTTCGCTGGGCATCGGTGGCGCCCCCCTGACGCCAGCCAGGACTTTCGGCGCCTAGCCCGAGGGACGTCGAGTCTCGCGTCCTTGCCCAGTCATGCCTTCAGCGGCTTCGACGCGCGCGCGGGCGCGCCCCGTGCGGCGGTCTTGGCGGCGACCAGGTTCAGCGAGCTCCGTTTCTCGAGCAGCTGGACGAGCCTGCCGGGTGTCTGTTGCGGGGACGCGTATCGACAAATGGGCCCGTAGAGTCTCGCAGGGACATGCTGAGGGAGCTCTGGGGCTCTGGAGCCCGGAGTCCATCGAAGCCCTTGGGCTTCATAGCCTGGGCGTCTCGTGAACGGCCCCTTGTGGCCACAATCCTACAGCTGTGCCGATACTCAAGAGGCATCCCTTCTCCGCCCTGGCCCGGCGTTTATTTCGGCAGCACTCCACAAGTCGGCTACGCGCAAGCGCGACCCTTTGCTAGAATCGCTTGGGGGCGCCCCGGACTCTGAGTGCGATGCGACAGCGGCGGCTTGCGCGCTTGGGCTTGCCCCCCACACCACACACACACACACCTAGGGTGGTCACTCCTCGCGTGCAGTCGATCCAGGAGGCTGGCCGGTCTTCTCAGCTCCCGCAGAAGGTCACGGGTCGGGCGAGCCCAGAGGACCAGGACACGGTCAAAATTTAGGGGCAACGACAGGGGGAGATAGGCACAGGGGGGAATGCATCGACCCCCAATCGCCTATTGATCGCCGATAGGGGTCTGATAGCCCCAACCCGCACAGGAAGGTGCGGATTCACTATCGGGGGCCTATCGCCAATCTATCGGCGATGTATCGCCGATTCGTCGATGTTTCCCCCCTATGCCTATCCCCCCCTATCGCTGCCCCTCAAAACCGCATGGTCAGGATGGGCAAATGTCCCAAGTATACCCCTGCATCCTTGCCTCCTCGGTCCATTCCTGGCCACCTCCGCTGGCCGCGCCCCGCTCGAAAAGCTTCGACGTGGGCGTCCAAGGCCCCTGCATCCTTATCGCGCAGCCTCATGATACAGTCGGGGCCCTGAAGAAGGAACCCTTTTCGTTGGGGAGGGGCTCCGCGTTCCTTAAGTGTTTCACAGCTTGCCTCAGGCTTTCCTTATGTTTTCGACAGGAAATCGAAGGTTAACTTATGGAGAAAAGGGGCCTCGTTCCCTATTTAGGGTTCCTTAGGTCAACGCCCCGACTGTACGCTCTCAGAGAGTTCCGCAACGCTCTGGGAGCATGCCGGAGCGCCCTGGAACGGCCGCGGCGTTCAGCACAGCCTCCGGGCCCGCCGCCATCTCCGAGATCCCCGAGGTGTTTCAGTCCGACGTTTCCCAATCGGGCTTGCCTAAGGGGCTTTATATAATCTGTTCGTTTTTAGTGGAGCCAGTACGTGCAAGGCCTGTGCCGGTTGCCTGGTCTTGTCTCTTCCTCGCTTCGAAGTTGGCCGTCTCGGGTTGTTTGGCAGTGCTTCCTTATTGTTTTGAAGAGGCATTCCTCGGGTTGCCAGGTATGGTTGCCGTACTGTTGTTGAAGAGGCTTTCCTCGGGTTGTTCGAATATGCTTCCTCACCGTTACTGATGAGGCACTCCTTGGGTTGCTTAGTCTTCTTGCCTTATTGCATGAATCGGCATACTTGGCTGAATGTCTAGCAACGCTAAGTAAAGCAATGCAAAGCAAACAACGCCAAGCAATGCCAGGCTACGCCAAGCAATGCCAAGCAACGTCGCACAAGGCAAAGCAATGCAAAGCTAAGCAGTGCAATGCTAAGCAATGCCGCCCAGGGAGCGTTCCCCTAATTTGGGTCGCGCCGGGTTCACGTCCCGGTCTTGGCTTCGTCGTAACAGGACCGCCCGCACCATCCGTCTCGTTCTGTGGCGCTGGGGCAGAGGGAGCCGTCACGCACCCTGCTCTCCTCAGGGCTGGACAGCCACCGACATCGAGGGTGCGAGCTTGGGGGCCTTCGACAGTGTGGTGCCGCGGGAAGGGGTAGGCCGCCTCGCCGTCCTCCCTCCCTCCTTCTCCCTCCTCCCTCCCTCCCTCCTCCCTCCTCCTCATTCGACGAAGGGCAGCGTACAGTCTCACCTCCTCCTCCTCCTCCTTCGACTACTCACATCCTCCTCCTCCTCCTCCTCCTCCTCCTCCTCCTCCTCCGACTACTCACCTCCTCTCCTCTCCTCTTGCTCCTCATCCTCCTCCTCCTCTCCTCATCCTTCTCCTCCTCCTCCTCCTCCTCTTTTTCCTCCTCCTCCTCCGCCCTCCTCCTCCTTCTCCTCCTTCTCCTTCTCTTCCTCACTCCCTCCCTTCGTTTCCTTCGCCTTTTGGTTCCTCTCTTCTCCTCCTCCTCATCATCCTCCTCCTGGACCGCTCGCCCAGGCAGTAATCGTCACAGGTAGCTCTTTTTGTTTGCGTCTGTCTGTCCAAGGGGTGGGCAGGATTTGTCCGCTCCAGCTGGCGCCTACAGTTAGCAGCAACGACATCGTGGCGAGGCCCGATGCCGTCCTCTTTCACTGGGTTTTCGGTCACGTTCGTAGGACGGCTTTGCGACGAACATGATAATTGCCAGCACGCTTGGAGAGGCGAGTTGTGTATATTATCGCGGTCCGTTCCCATCTCCTGCTCCTCCAAAAAAAGCTTTTCCTCACTCCCTCCCTCCCTCCTTCCCTCCCTCATCCTCCCTTCCTCCGTTTCCGTCGTCGGCATCGGCGGTTTCGTCGTCGTGGTTGTGGTGCGTGTTGCTCTGTTCGGGATTATTTTCCCTTCTGCAGTGACCACCACCAACAACAACACCCTCCCTCCCCCGCCTCCCTCCCTGCCAGGTTCCATGTGTGCCCGTGCTGACTTACGGGAGCGGGCCTGTGCTCGGGTGGATGGGCTTGGGGGCGGGCAGTGGTAGTCGGAGTAAGATGCCACACGCTTGTGCGCGATGGCCACCTATCGGAAGGTGTTTGCTGTTCAAGGTTGGGCAACCGCCGTGCGGACGAGGCCGCCCACGAACTCACCTCCCCGGGGCCCACAAGCGCGTTGCCCGTGCCGCCAGCATTCTCCAATTCGTCACGAAGCTCCTCGCACGCAGGCTGTGGGCGATGGGCCCTTGGACCGCCGCGCCGTCCAGCCGCGATGGGGGTGCACGATGGGCGGTGGCGGAAGCCCCCGCAGCGGCATGGTCCGTCCACATGGGGAGGAAGAGGAGGAGACAGAGGAGGAGGAGGAGACAGAGGAGGAGGAGGAGGAGGAGGAGGAGGAGGAGGAGGAGAAAGAGGAGGAAGGAAAAACGGCGAGCAGACGCGCAGATTGGTGGCCGTATGGGGTGTTTGTGGGCATGCGCGACGTAAACGTGCCGCCAAGGAGGCGAAAACCTTGAAACGAGCCCAGCGTAGGCTTGCTGTCGGGCACCGTCTCTGGCGAGTAGGGCCCTTTGGCTTTTGCGAAGTGTGCGGGGCGCACTCGTGTGACAACTCCCGGAGACGCCCAAGGCTGTCGGCGTCAGTGCGTGAGAACTTCCACCGGTCGGCGCCGCCTCGACAATCTGTGGCATCGGTTCGGGGCCAAGGGCACCTACGCCTTCCGGAGCGTTCGCCCGCGATGCTGAATTGGGGGGGGGCATTGAGGTCTTGCCTGCCGGTGAGAGTCAGACAGTGAGCAAGCCTCGTCGGGCGTCGCGCGCAGACGCGTCCATCTATGTTTTGTGGTTCTGTCCGCAGCGGAGGTACGTGCGGCCGTGCCACCTGCGAGGTTCACTCGCCCCTGGCGCTGGTGTGGGCTGCCTGGCCACCCAGCGGATGTTCCCCTTTCCGTCCCCTCCTCGATGAATTCAGTCCTCCGCCGCCCAGGAGAAGGAGGAGGAGGAGGAGCTGGGATTAAGAGGAGGAGGAGATTGGATTAGCGCACTACGTGGTGACGCCGACAGTGTCATATGGGCTGGCTACGATTACTTATCCTCAACGAAACTTTGCAGGAACCACAAGCGTCCTTGACAAGCAGCGCACGCGTTCTTCAGGATGTTTGGCCATCTTGCTTGCTAGCAGGAGGAGGAGAAGGAGAAGGAGAAGGAGGGGGAGGAGGCGAAACGACGACGACGACGACGAGAGGGATCCAGAGGAGAAAGGTGTAGCGGCAGGCGATTTTGGCACGGCCAGGGTAACGCAGGTCTGCTGCTACGACTACTTCCTGCGCGGCACCCGCAAGGCGGCGGTCCGCTGCCTGCTGGAGGCGGCGCTGCCAGCGGCCGCGCCCGTCATGCGCTCCGTCGCGGGAGCCGCGCCTCCTCCTCCTACATACATACATACATACATACACGCACATACATGCAAACAGACACACATACATAAATACACACAATGGTACCTTAATTCTTTACGCTTCGCGTATCCCCACCAGCCCATCTCACAACAGCAACTCATGCGAAGCATGCCGACAGTCGTGTTTTTCAGGCGTGTGTCCGTTTGGCCCCGCATATCTCCCCTGTTCCTCCTTCCTCCCGCCTCCTTGTACATCCTCCTTGTGGTGGGAGCGGGAGAAGGACGAGGCGGAGGAGGAGGGAGAGAAAGCGCTCCTCGTGGTTTGAGTCGTTTGGGGTTTCTCGTCCTGGTGTGAGTCGTTCGGGCCCTTCTTCCTGGTGTGAGTCGTTCGGGCTCTTCGTGGTGTGAGTCGTTCGGGCTCTTCGTCCTGGTGTGAGTCGTTCGGGCTTCTCGTGGTGTGAGTTGTTCGGGCCCCTCATCCTGGTGTGAGTCGTTCGGGCCCCTCCTCCTGGTGTGACTCGTTCGGGCTCCTCGTGGTGTGAGTCGTTCGGGGCCCGCGTCGTGGTGTGAGTCGTTCGGGCTCCTCGTGGTGTGAGTCGTTCGGGCGCCTCGTCCTGGTGTGAGTCGTTCGGGCCCCTCCTTGTGGTGTGAGTCGTTCGGGCTCTTCGTGGTGTGAGTCGTTCGGGCCCCTCGTCCTGGTGTGAGTCGTTCGGGCTCCTCGTGGGGCCTCTTGGGGGCCTCTTGGAGCCTCTTGGGGCCTCTTGGGGGCCTCTTGGGGGGCTTGTATGAGCGCTGCCCCTCTTCCTGGTGTGACTCGTTCGGGCTCCTCGTGGTGTGAGTCGTTCGAGGCGCGCGTCGTGGTGTGAGTCGCTCGGCCTCCTCGTGGTGTGAATGGGTCCGGCGCCTCGTCCTGGTAGGAATCGTTCGGGGTCCTCCTTCTGGCGTGAGCCGTTTGGGTTCTTCGTGGTATGAGTCGTTCGAGCCCCTCGTCCTGGTGTGAGTCGTTCGGGCTCCTCGGGGGGCCTCTTGGCGGCCTCTTGGAGCCTCGTGGGGCCTCTTGGGGGCCTCTTGGGGGCCTCTTGGAGGCCTCTTGGGGGCCTCCTGGGGCCTCTGGGGGCCTCTTGGGGGCCTTTTGGAGGCCTCTTGGGGGCCTCTGGGGGCCTCTTGGGGGCCTCTTGGGGACCTCTTGGAGGCCTCTTGGGAGGCTCCTGGGGGCCTCTTGGGGCCATCTTGGGGCCTCTTGCGACCTCCTCAGAAGCGCCACGAAGCGCTGCCCCCTGAGAAAGACAAAATGAGCCCAAAACCCTCGTAAAATCAATGATTTTGCTATGAAGGAAGATGAGCGCGGCCCCCTCGGGAGGCCAAAATGGGGCCAAAACCCTCGTAAAAGCAAGGATTTTGGCTTCACAGAAGAGGAGGGGGCTACAAGAGTGCCCCCCCGTCGGGGCCAGAATCCTCGTGAGGGTCGTCGTTTTTTGGCCCTCCCAGGCGTCGAAAAAGACCTCCCTGACGACCCGCGGAACTCCCTGTCCAGGCCCAGGGGGAGGGGGGAGGGGGAGGGGTAAACCCCTCCCCGAAGGGGAAGAAGGGGGGTTGAGGACAGAGGGGGCTCGCTAAACCACTCACGCCCTAAAGGGCTGGTGGGATTCATATATACATACATACATATAAACACATATGCATACATACATACATACATACATACATACATACATACATACATACATACATACATACATACAAACATACCTACATACATACATACATGCATACATACATACATACATACATACAAACAAACAAACAAACAAACAAACATACAAGCATACATGCACAGACAGACCTACATACATACATACATGCATACATGCATACATACATACATATATACATACATACATGTATACATGCATGCATGCATGCACACACAGACAGACATACATACTTACAGACAGACAGACGGACAGGCAAACATACATGCATACATGCACGCATACATACATTCAGTCATACATGCATACACACATACATAAATACATACATACATACAGACAGACAGACAGACAGACAGACAGACAGACAGACATGCATGCATGCATGCATGCATCTATATATATATATACACATACATACATACATACATACATACATGCATGCATGCATACATACATACATACATACCTTCCTACCTACATACATATATACATACAGATGTACATGTGTATATGTGTGTAGAATCACTAACTGTGGAGTAACGCAGAGAAAATATATGTGTATACCTGATGTTACGGGTTCGCTGCGCTTCGCATAAATCTTGGTCGCATGGCGCCAGGGAGGCGCGATGCGATCGGTTGTCGTCACAGCCGCGGTGTGTTCTGGCCATGGAGACCATGGAGCAAACAGGGCAGATAGGACCCGGGGAATATTGCGGCTCAAAGAGCTCAGAAGGGTCTCTGCCGTCATGGGGCCCAGGGGCTCGGAGCCCCCATTTTAGCCGTGGGGTAATGCTGCCGATGCGGCTCCAGGGGTTCATGGAACTCACAGGGTTCATGGGGTTCATGGGGTTCGTTGGGGTCCTGGGACTGCTTGTGCACATCGGGCACAGGGCTCATAATGCTGAGTGGCTTTTACAGAGGCCATGGGGGCCATCGGAGGCTCATGGTGCTTATAGGGGTCCTGGGGCTCCTTGGAGTCATCAGCTCTTGGGGGCCACTGGGCTCATAGAGCTCGCAATGCTCCTAGGGGCCATAGGGCCCATAGCGCTAACACAGCGCGTAGGCCTCGTAGGGCTCATGGGGCCGATTGGGGTGAAGGGGCAAGTCGGGGCCATAGGGCTCATAAAGCCCATGGGCCGTATACGGCTCACTGGGCTCGTAGGGCTCAGAGGGGGGTCTCATGGGTCTCGCAAGGCTTCACGGCTCCTGGTGCTGAGGGGGTTCTAGGGCGCATGGGGTGCATAGGCCTCATAAGGGGTCATCGCGCTCACATGGTGTCATGGAGGGTCGGGTGGGTATGGGGCTCGGCTCATTGAGTTCATGGGGCTCCTGGAGCTCGTGAGCTCATAAAGCTCATGGGGCTTCTAGTGCTCATAGGTCTCAAAGGGCTCATCAGGCTCATGGGGCTCATGGAGCTCGGAGAGCTCATACTGTATCGTCGGGTTTGGATGGTGGATTTTCCTCCTCCTCGTCCAGCCTCTTCCTGTTTCCCTCCTTCGACCTCCTTGCTCCTTCTCCTGTCCTTGTGCGCCTCTCCCCCAGGAGAGCGAGCTTCACCTGCGGCTCTGAGTGGAGGATTCGCAGTGGGGACCTTCGACCGTCTCGTGGCCCTCATGGAGCCCTTGTGATCCGTCTTCCTGGGAGGATCCGCAGAACGCTACGTCACCACATGTGTGCCGAATGTCCCCTCACATGGACCGCACCCCACAGGGAGCTCCACTGACGGTGAAGAGCCAACGTGCGCATGCCGCCTCACCGCTCCACCGACGGTGAAGAGCCAACGTGTGCATGCCGCCGCACCGTCCATGGTGGCACACCCGTGATCTGGATTATGAGTTGGGGGGACCCTTCGGGGTGTCGCGGCGTGTGTGGGTGAGAGCTCTGGAGGTGTTAGGGTTCCCAGGCCTCACATGGGGAACCAAGAGGCACCATAGTGGTCGTAGAGCTTGTGGGGCCGACAGGCCTCATATGACTGATAGGGGCATGGCCTCTCGGGGCTCTCGTGGGGCTCCTTTTGATGCTCTTTTGGGCTGTCTGGCGGCCCTCCTGGGCCGTCCCGGGACCCTCTTGGGCCGTCCTGGGGGGTTTGGGCCGTCTTGGGGCCCTCTTGGTTCTTCTTGGGGGCCTCCTGCGGCCTTCTTGGGGCTCTCTGGGAAGCCTATTGATGCTCTTTGGAGCCGTCTTGGGGCTCTCTTGGGTCATTTTGGAGCCCTTTTGGGCTGTCTTGGGGCTCCCTTGGGGACTTCTTGGGCCGTCCTGGGGCGATGTTGGGGGCCTCTTGGACCGTCTTGGACGCGGTGAAGGCCAAAGAAGCGGATATGTTAAACATGTACGCTTTCTGGAGGGAATGGGACGATTTTGACCTCTTGGGGGTCTTCTTCGGGGCCTCTTGGGTCGTCTTGAAGCCACCTTGAGGCCTCTTTGAGCGCTCATGAGCCTTTCTGGATCGGTCTTGGGCCGCCTTGGAGCTTTGCGGGACCGTCTGGGGATGGCCGTGAGAGGCCCCCGAAACCGAAATTCAACCTTGACGTCGGTGTGAGCGCCCAGGGCCGAATTTATGTACGGGGGGGGGTCAGGGGGGCTTTCCGCTATAAGAATATTCGAAGAGGAATATAATGGGGGTCCAGGGTTGGGTGCCTTCTCCCAGCTGCCCCGACTCGCCATGGGGGCGCCAGTCTCCCCAGGCACCCTCTCCAGCGGCCCGACAGCCGCCCAGAACAGAAGGCTTCCGGATGTCACGCGGGGCTTCCAGGCAGCCCCGGATAGCGTCGAGATTGCCCAAGAGGACTCGATGAGCGCTCCCCAGAGGGCCCCAAGAGGCAAAAACCATTGATATTCCTTTGGCTGTTCCATGCTTGGGGGTTTTCGACTGTCACTCCTCCTCGTCATCCTCCTCCTCCTCTCCTCCTCATCCTCCTCCCTCCTCTCGCCTGGGCCTGCGGGCCGCTCTGGCCGCCATGTGGCCGCCGTCGCCGCCCCGTCGCCGCCTGGCGCCGCCCGTCGCCTGGGCTTGCGGGTCGCTTTGGCCGCCGTGTGGCTGCGGTCGCCGCCTCGTCGCCGCCCGCCGCCTCGTCGCCGACCGCTTTGCATTGCTTGGCGTTACTTGGAATTGCTTGACATTGCTTGACACTGGTTAGCATTGCCCTACATTGCTTTGCGTTACGGTGCAATGCCTTGCAGTGTGTTGCATTGCGTTGCATTGCGTTGCATGCCGCTGCCTTGTTGCAGTGTGCGCACTGCTTTGCATCGCATAGCTGCGCACTGGTTCCCATTACAATGCTTCGCATTGCTACCGCATTGT